GAATATGTAGTGGAGAGTCTGGAAGAACATCATCACTAGAGACAGTGCAATGGGTGACCTTAAAACCATATTTGAAAAGCAGACAATACCAATTTATTCAATGAAAGCAGAGCAGGGATGGGCAGCTATCCCCTTCTGCTTCACCCATGCAGTCCATGGGTGGTATGGTCCAGAACAGGCATGTTTATAAAGCAAAAACATCGCGAGGTTATTCACCTTCAAGTGATCCTGTGGAACCACACATCTCACCAGTGAGCACTACGGAATCATCAAAGAGAGCACAATTCAACATGGCTGTACAGTGTGGATTTTAACTGAAATATACCTGGTCAGGCACTGCTCACCATGAAGTAGGATCCAAATAGTGAAGATTGAAGCAAGGGCCCCTGAAAGGAAAGAAATAATGAATAGAAACTTGCACAGTTAGTCACACCGAAGTATGAAAAATGGTCATAGGTGATAGACGAAAACACAAGGAAGAAATTGATATACAGTGTAGATAAGGAGAGATGAACATATTAGGTGTAGGTCTTATGCCCGACGAAAACGAGATGCCAGGGAAAAGGTCAGGATATTGAATCAGATGAGAAGACACCTGGAACAAAGTCCAGGAAGAAGGCTGTAAAGGGGAGTAAGCAAATGGGATCAAATGCCAAACACAACTGGTGAGGGTGGAAGGAGAAAGATCTCGACTGGAGGAAAACTGCCTAGGAATAAAGAGGCGGGAGCAGGCACCATGGAAAGAAGCTGTATGGGCAATAGAACAATGAAGAGCAGGAGTCGATCCGGGTCATGACAAGGATAAAGATGGGAAATGTAAGTAAGGGAATTAGGCAAAAGGTGGAGTTAACTCCACTAGCCACTGATGTCTTGGGTGAGAAGGAAGATCTGAATAATGGAGAAGAAAGGGAGTGGAAAAATGTACGAGAAATATCGTGGGAAATAAATACGACCTCCGATGTACAGAGGCACAGAGGAGAAGGAATTATGCGTTAAGGGAAGATGAAATAAAAAACGTGAGAAAAGTGAGGCAAACAAAGGTAAAATGAAGAATAAAAGATCACATTATATCCCAGGTCAACATATTAGGCAGTCAGGGAGGACAACTAATCTGGAAGGTACATAGTAAGGATAGGTGAGGTAAAAACTCCACGTTATAGGGAAAAGAAAGGTATGGGACAAGGCTGCCTGATAACCCAAGTTAAAGGGGCCCAAAGACCCATGGTCGAAAAACCAGGGGAGAAACTCTGCCACCCGAGACACAGGGTTCGATCTGCTAGAAATCCCTGACTCATAGATTAGCTGTAGAACACTTCACATTTACGGCAATAAAAGCTCCCTGTAGAAGATTGAACAGAACAAGCTAAAAGAAAGCTACCTGCAGGTATAAACCCAATCTTCCTGCCAAGGACTGAATAAGATCCAAGCGTAAAGATGAACAATGTGAATGTCCAGATGGATTACCAGTGAAGAAAGTGAATGAAGAGGGGAAGGAGACAAAGGAAGATGCAGTGGAGGTAAAAGCTGGAGCTGGAGAAGTCATGGAAATGACAGTTGAGCTGGCCATTAAAGAGCAATCAGAAGGGCCTAACACAGAATGGTAAGGATGAGGGAATCACCCATGGAAGTAAGAGGTCATGGGGGGAATGAACATACAAGAACCTGTGGGACCATTCTTGCCCAAAGGCATCAACAGCCCTAGCTAGAGGAGGAGATACTTGATACTAAATAGAGGTAATAGGAGGTTAAGAGACACAGTAAATGGATCTATGTGGGAAGAATCCCATGGAAGACAAAACTACAAGAAAAAAAGAGAATTGAGAAACCACTCCAATGGATAGAATGTATTGGGACACGAAAAACAAACTGCAATCCGAGTGAGAGCACCCAGAACATGACATGCAAGGATATAAATACTGTGCAAGAGGGCCCAAAAGAGCAGATCTAATATGTGAAAAGAGAGGAAGTGCAAACAAGTGCCACCCACATGAGCAACACCCCCAAAAAGGGACAAGAGGAGAAAAGGAACAGACCATAAAATCCTATTAATAATGAAAAGGAAAACAAACAGCAGTGTCACATCATACTAACCCAAAAACAAAGAAACCATGTGAGGAGGGAATGAACTGAAGATGGCAAAAACCCGAAATAGGAGGAATCCTCACTAAACCCGAAATGTAAAAAGAACACCAAATAAAGGGAAACATGAAACATTATATATATGAGCAAGGAAAGGGGGAAAAAGAATGACAAATGCTGGAAGAAATCTGCTTGAAGTTAAACTAAGGTAAAATTGAAAGCCTGTAGAAGGGAAAGTTTGTAAGTTCACAAACTCAAGAGAGATAAAAGGAACAGCACAGAAAACATGAAGATAATATTCTGCAAAACGTGTCTGAAAATGTGTAAAGGAGGTCTTGCAGATACAGCAATAGAAGTATGGAAGACATTCCATGATAAGGCCAGGGAGAACTGACAATTTCAGAATGTTGGAAAATGGGTTCAACCATTAGATGGGGAAAATGAGCAATAGTGGAAACAGATATGGCAGACCCCGGGTCCCAAGGATCAACACATGAACTTAAATTATTGGTATAAAGGATAAATAATAAACAAAATGACATTAATGGTAAAAAGTATAAAGTAGAGATTAAACGAAAGAAAATGTAAAAAGTATAAATTATAAAGAATAACAAAATGAAATAGTCAATACAGTGAAAAACGGGGGCATAATGGTGGGTAAAACAAAATACACAGCCTAGCTAACTACTGAATGAATATTTGCTGTAAAATTCTTATCAATGCTATAAGTATAGCTACTAGTTGGGACACCAATTTTGATTTCATTCCTTTAAGTCGCATGCTCAATCCTTTTTTGGCTGCACCTTTTTTTTCACACCTAAAGTGTTTTAGATTAGATATCATAACTTTTAAATCAATACACACCAACAAACCACATCAAGTAAGAAAATGACACTTGACAGTAACCAGCATTAACTTTAGGATTGCAACTCTATTATTCAGAACAGACTTATACTTTACAGAACTAACCAGATTCTTTAAAATATATGGTGGTAGTTTCCTTCTCTAAAACAGTGTTATTAACTTCCATATAATAACACCATGGAATCTAGATGAATAGTTTTTTGTCATCATCAGCATTCATTTGGTACAACCATATGAAGCATCATTAATTAAGCTAATTGTGTAAGCTAATATCACATGATGCTATATGTTCTTTAATTAGGAGAATTTCATAAAATGTAGCAAACAGGCAATGAATAATAACTGGCCACAAATATGATTCTTTTCAAAACTTGAGCTAGAAACTGATAATCTGCTCTTTCATCATTAAAAAATATACATACATACTTTTACATTCACTGTTTTATTATTTATGGATACTTTACACTTTTTAGTGTATATTTCAAACTTGACAACAATCATACAGATTAAAACCAAATCACAAAAAAAATGCAATATACATGAAAACACTTCTCAAAATAATATTAATATGCATATGTTCATGAAAAATAAATTAAATAAGAAAAACAATAACACTTAATCAACAACTGGTGTGTGTTTTATTCTAATTTCTTTCTATTACATTGTGGTAATGATTAGTTTGAAAATAAAACTTGACTGTCCACAATTATCTCAAACCTTCAAATACATTTTGTAATATTAGACTTTTATAAGTTATTAAAAATAATTATATGCCTAACACAGAACATTTGCAAGAAACTAATATATTGTTTGGCAAAAGATCCAAAAAAATATCATTTCAGCATAACTCAAATTCTCAGCAATAGAATACAAATTTTCATTCAAGTTTATTACCATATTAGGAATAAATTAATAAATATAGTTAATTATTTATAGTTTGTAATATCTTCTATGTATTTCCAGATAATTTCACAATAACTAAGACACATTTGTTTTATAAATATGAAATACAGCAGAAAGCCAGTACATAAGATCATCACCTTTAATTGCCTATTGACTGAACATTTCAGGTCCTATTTTCTTGAATAAAATTTCCTCAGAACTAGTAGAAGTGTGTGAGAAACAAGTTATGCTACAAGAATAAGGTAAAAAGACTTACTTAAACTTATGAAATATCTTACAATCTTAAATAATTGCCTGTATGTTTCCCAAACTGAAGAGACTGCTGAACAACTGAAAATAAGTCAGTGGAGGTAACGTTTAAGTTATGTGGGTTATTTTGAAATCTTATCTCTTATCAATAAAACCACACACCAAAATAAATATAAAAAAAACTTAATAAAAAAACAGAACCAGTTCAACATGCGAGAAGAATATGAATAACCATAAGTTAGTTACAATCTTTTAAACTTGAACAGTGTATTGGCTTTAATTGTAGTTCTTATATCATCCAACTTTACTAGCAGCATAAACAAACAGAAACTACTGATTCAATGTATTGCTTCACAGATTACATAGAACTAAGCAGATCATCCTGGTTTCAATTAAGATGTAATCTAAAACAGAAAGTTAAAATGGTTACATAAGTATTGTCTATATCACGTCTATTAACTCACACAAATCATTCAAATTCTAGGTTATTACAAGAAAACAGAGAAACAATGTTCGGTATAATAAGCAGTATTTTATTATAATTACTAAAAACATAATAACTGTATAGTACATGACAATAAGTTAATGAGTGTCAACTTGTATATTTTCATAAGGCAGGTTATATGTAAAATAAAATGTTGTCACAATCAACTAAAATGACTAACATATAAAAATATTTAGAGCAAGTAAAACTCCAACAAACAAGTGCCACCACATACCAACTCCAACAAACTTACTTATAAGTGAAAAGTATAATTTACAACACATAATTCTTATAATCCATGCAGTAACTTTAAAAAAATATCTGAAATTAACTATCATGCATTCATTTTTCCCCACAAAATAAAATATTGCATAATATTTCTGCATTAAGAAAAAGTAGTGCAAATAATGTCACATATGTTATACAAAGTTCTTATAAGATATGCAAATACATATTATAATTTTACTTATTATTAAAGTATCAGTACACAGTCACTTAGAAATTGGAAGACATTAAAAGAAGGAATGTTAATATACAGTAAGGAACTGATTCCACCTTCAGGAGGGATGGAATAGGATAAAGTACTCTTACTGATCAAGAAAAAAGAAGCTAAAAACCCATTTAATAATAACAGTGGAGATAATGACTAGACAGACTTTATAATGAAGAAGTGGATGCTTTCCATACATTGCTACTGTTGCTTGACTGAATTTAAAACCTCTAATGATGGACTTGTTTAGTCTTAAAAACTGGTCACAAATTTGTACTAATCGACAGGAGACATTATTTATATTATTATTATTATTGGCATAAAATTACTCTTCTAAACAGAATTTTCTTCACTAATTTAAGAACATTATTTAATAAATTGAAAAGTATGCGACTAATGTTAGTCACCATATAGAAAATTATGTTTTCCATAAATAAACTGACAAAGATCAGAAAAATGAACTATTGCAACTTACTAAGTATTCCATTTTATGGGTGAGTATTTAAGGGAAATTCAATACTTTTCTTACATACACCAAGAGTATCAGTACACTAGCCATAATCAGCAGTCAATGTTAAAACCTTAAATCTATCACCATCCATGATATATCTGATTTCCTTGGGATAACTGTTTTAAATCACAAAAGAACTATTCAAATTATTATATGAAATATAACAGTATATCTTCTAATTACATGCACCACAATTCATATAAACAATCACTTTCTTTTTGTTTTTAAAAACTAATGCATGGTATAAAGCACCTAAAGTGGGAAAATTAGACATTTTATGCCTGATAAGAGAGTGATAAAAAATTATGACTGACAGCAAAGGTTTTTACATCAGACTTCTCTTTATTAGACCTTCATGGATTTTTAATCAGAACCATGTAAATATAGAATTTCAGAACTATCTTTTCTTTGACACTGAAAGCTCAGGATGCCTTTTATTCAATACCAGAAATCATCAATTGGGCTGAACTATGGCAGCCTTAACTGCATTCAGTGTACTTTCTGGTGTAAAATGCCCATGTTATATATATATATATATATATATAAATAGCATTTTGAATGTGCTTTTAGTTGCTATTTTACAGTTCAGTTGAGAGTTTTCTGGTACTGAATGAAAAGACTTCTGGATAGTAACAAGTGCCATTTTAATCAATTTTACAATTCAAAATAAAATTTAATCTGTGATTAATATTTCTAATTTTACAAATAATTTTTTTTATTTGATTAGTTATTTTATACAATTTTCTAAAGACAAGGTTCAGTTTCCATTTTAAGTGTATTATATACAATATTAATAGATTAAGAATAAAGAGCTGTTTCTGTGTTAACCGAAGAAATAGAACATTAACACGGGAAGAATCTTTCGATAAAAATCAGTTAAATTCACAAAATAATTTGGAAAGAAATTCCATGTCAATTTTAAGTAGTAAACAAGAATAATCACACAAAAAACTATTGCTCTAAATAACATTAATATTCCTTTTCAATTCCAATTCATTTTGTAAAAGGTTATAATAGTTTTAACAAAAGAAAGTTGTATAATTTTTAATTAAATCACTTTGATACAACAATTATATTATGTATGAGACATAAGCATTTCTCTATGTATTTTTAATATCACTGTATTCAGAACAAACTGAATCCTAATAATCACTTCTATGGAATTCCACCTATACTAAACTATCTTGCTAATATATACTAATAAACCTTGGTCCCTATAGAGTGGTGGAGGTAACTGGGCTGATCCCATGAACCAGGAGTGTTGGTGGGAGATTTTCTGTCAGTATATTCAATCTCTCAAGGTATGTCTGATTGTCTTTTTCTTTAGCTGGAGGAGATGGGAGATGGACAAAAACTACAGCCGTATTCTTGCTTTGCTGTTTGATCATTGCATTGACACTGCAAAGATAATCAGTGTGAAGCTCTGGATTTTGGCCATTCTGGAAGTCCAGCAAAGCAGTTACATGATCCCACAAAATAACACTGATTGCAGCATTAATTCTCAACATCTCTAACATGTTTTCCCATTGTCGTTGACGGGTCTGAGCATTCTCCATCTGAGCATTCATGCACATGAAAACTCTTAAAACAGTAGAGCGCTTCCAGTCACTTACCATGTTCAAGATACAGGCAAGTTGCATTATAAAAAGCCAAGAGTTATCAATGGTAGTAATAGAGCAAGGATGGAAGAAATTCATTGGCCATACATCAATATAGTTAATAAATTTAGCTTTTTTTACCTTATTCTTGTCCAACTTCTCAAAGTGACGAGCCAGACAAACATTCTTTTGAAGTCTGAAAATGCTGTCCCGAATCATCTGCACATATTCACTAGCAGTTACCATTTTGCTTTTTTCTTCTTCTCTCAACTTTAGGAAAACTTCATTTCGAATAGTCACTCTCTGTAGAGACAAAAATGCTTCATCTTTCTCAAAAAAATCATTTGGAGTACATCCATCAAAAAACCCAAATAAAATGGTGTTTGGTTTCATGGCTCCAAGTCCTGATACCCGAACCAAATGATGAAATCCTTCCCGAACTGATCTAGCTAAGGTAACTTCTACAAAGGCTTTAACCTGAAACCAAAAAGAAAAAAACAGTAGTACTAAAAATAGTTATTCAACTAACTGAATAAAAATCACATATTTCCAAATATTTAAGGCTAGTTACAAGCTAACTTTCAAGGATGTGGACAAATTCTGTTGTGTTCATATAATACAATTTCAGGATTTAATTAATAAAAATACAATAACAGTAACTTTTATAGTAGACAAGTTCTGATTTTAATAAGTACAATGTTTCAACCCATAGTATCCAGTCATTATCAGATAAAAATTGCAGGTAAAGTGTACATATCTACACCAACATATGTTAAAATAGGAATGGACAGAACAATGGCTACACTTTGAGGATGCCCCATGTCAAAAACCATGTTGTATGCTATTCTGCCCATTCCTACCTTGTTTCCTTCATTTTTGGTGCTTCCATTCCTACTTTCTAATGTTTTTACTTAAAAATATTTACACTTGTCTCAGAGCATTTTTTAGTACAAAGTCTTGAGAGTGACTGGGTTCTAGGCCTATTCTTCTTGTAGCTTTTCTTAGAGCTCTCTCTCAACATTTCCTTGCTTTTGCTGATATCTTTTCTATAGTTTTTCTTCCATCTAACCAGGGTGGCAGCCTTTTCTTTGGCTGGATTAATGGCTAAGGCTTGTTTTGCATATTCAGTATTACTATTTCTAACCTTATTCTTGCAGTAATGCTTTTTTCACTGGGACAAAGACTTTTCAAGTTTATCAACATAAGATTTTATCCTTTTCTCTCATTTTGTTTTCTTGAAAGACAAATTTTAAAAATTGCACTGTTTCAAGTACAACCTTATATATCAAAAAGTTACATATAGTTTGAAAACAATGTAAAGGTAAATTATACAACTTATTGTTTTTATTGTCAGTCCAGATCATTCAAGCAAAGTCGTGTCAGACTTTGGTAGTGGCAGCGTTCGTCCTCACGTAGGATAATCATGTCTTAGGCACCAACTGCTATGATAGAATTACTTTGTCCAACACAAAACTCTCAAGTCAGATGTATAAAACTGAAAACTTCACTTTCAAAAGTTAGATCATAGTTAGAACCTAGATCTAGAGAGTCTACATAATCCATTGTTTTTTTTTTTTTATGTAGCTGATACAGCTGCAAGCTGATTATGTAGTGCACAGACATAAGAAATTGCACACAAAGCACATGATATGAGGATGGGTTGTGATTTAGAAACTCATAGAGCATGCTCGTAATCACAGAATATGGTTACTAGTGCATTAGTAGTGCTGCAAAATGGATATTGTTATTACTTATTATCAAGGTAGTGTAATTTAATCATTTGCATTTATATTTGCATAAGGTGAAAGCAAGAAAGAGCTATGCCTTTCCAACAACGTTAGTCTGTTAGTCAAATTAAGAAATTTTGTGGTTTTGTAAAATTTTTGTTTTTACTCTACTGACTGTCACAAATGCTTTGGTGGCTTGTTACTCTGCAGTTGGTTTGTTTACTATTTAATAGCATGTGTAAAGTGCTTATAAAGTTTTGTGTATATGCTGTTTGCAGTGTGTTTGAGATTTTAATTTGTATTGCACATATTGCACATCTGGCCTATTCCTATACATTTATAGCTGGGACATTTCATGCTCTGAAAAGACCAAGTCAGTGAACAATACAGAATGTAATATATAGCTCACTGTCATATAAAGGCTAAATTATTCACTATTACAAGTTTTAATAATTTTTATTGAACTATGCAAAGAATTTGCCTATAATGGTTTTAATTAAAATATAACATAAACAGAGCTATGTGGCATCTCTTTCTCTCTCTAAATATATATATAAATAAACAGCTTACAAACTATTGATTACATTAATTGTTAACAGGTAATTAAATCAGCATTGTTTTATAATCTTCAAAAAACTGCCAGTTCTATTTCTACATATGACTTTACTACATTCTATACTAAAATACACCTAAAAGATTTAATTAGGGTTTTCAATGATACGTTTGATAACTTTGTAAAAAATGAAATAACTATACCCAAATTTAAATTTACTAGAATTCAATGTAAAAATATACTCCATTTCTGTATTTATAACAGTTATAGTTTTTAACAAAGTACATAAGCAAACGGTGGGTATTCTGATGTGAACGAACTTCTCTTCCAGTATGGCCAACCTGTATCTGTTCTTTTATGAAAACTCATTTATGAAGCAGACTTTAAATCCTAACTTATACATTTACACTTTCCATTACATAGATGATTTAATAATATGAATTTTACACCAAATTTAATATATCCAAGAGAACTTACAGTGGAAAGAAGTAATAACAATAAAGAGGTCCATGCTAATTATTTAGATTTAGACATTACTTTTATAGAAGGTAGAGTGTAGTTGATTATTTTTGATAAAATAATATAATTTAATTTTCTCATTCTTGGTCTACCGACACCTAATAGTGTTATTCCGTGTATCACGTTAAAAGGTATTATTATATCTCAACTAAAATGGTTCTTAATAGTCTGTAATAACTAATTTCTTTATGAATAATGTTTCATTATTAAAAAAAAATAAACTGAAAAATAACAGCTATAAAGACAGGCAATTAAAAAAATGCTTTATTTTTTAAAAAATAAAAAAATATTTTAGAAACTAAACTATCGATTAAGGAAAATATATTATAGAAATATATAAAATAAAGAGAGAGTTAGTTACTTTAGCTTATGCGTAGCTAATAGCAATTTTTCAAGTAATTTTATTAAGTATAACCGGGACAGAAAGACTAACTTCAAGTAGCTGGGCTTATCTTGGCTTTCCCGTGTTATACTTGAATAAATCTTCAGGAGAAAGAGGGGATGTTGGGAGTTAGAACTATATAAGAACTTTTAAGGTAGGATGTAAAGTTCTATGTAATATCTTTTGATAAGGGTGGAGGTTGGGAGTTTAATTAGTAGAAATAGTAGGGTGGCTTCATTTCATCTCATTTCTACCTTAAGAAATTTATGGGTAATTGCCTTCCCAGAACTGGCTCTAGACAGTGAAAGGCAGTAGAAGCTGAGATGTTGTGGGTGTAAGCACACAGCTTTGTACCCTTATTTGATTGATCTTTTTATATTCCATGATGGTTAACTAGATTGACATTGGCGTTAGGATTTTGTTTGATAGATGGAATATCTGCAACAGATTTGGGTGCTACCACCACAGATATTGGTTATGACAATAAGTCGACAACCTGGACTGATAATGGTACTGCGATATATATATATATATATATATACACACACACATGTACATGTATATATGTGTGTGTGTGTGTGTGTGTGTGTGTGTATTTCATTAATGCGTATAATTACTTCAGTGGTCTCTTAAATAACTGAAATTGCCAAGTATGAAAACCTGTGACTAAAACATTGAAGCTTACCAACATTTTTTGTTTAAGTTCAAAATAACATCATGATCCACTTGTAGTGAGGAGAAGAAATCCACTGTATATTTAAATAAAAGACCAGAAACAGCTTTCTGAGTAGATTATCTTTTTTTAACTTTATAGTAATGTTTTGACAACTGGTATGGTCATCATTAGATGAACTGTCATCTATTGTATTATTGCTGCAGAATGGAGTCATACAGCCTTTGGAAGTGCTTGGTCATTTCCAGTAATGATTGTCATGAAGAATGAAGGTATGCCAAGACTCTGCAGGGACTTCAATGAGTGAAGACTGTAACTTGCATTGACACCTTCACTGCACAGATGAATGTATGGAGGTGGTAGAAGGTTCCCTTGGTTTAACACCTTGTATCAGGCATCCAGATACTGGCAAATCAAGCTGAAAAGTAAAAGCAAGGCTACGGCTGCTTTTAACACAAGAGATGGTCTGTATGAATTTCATGTGATGCCATTTGATCTATGTAACTCGCTACCTACTTTTGCATGGCTGATGGAGCTTAAGTTCAAGAGATTGCAATGGAACAAATGCCTGGTCTATGTTGATGATGTTTTGATGTTTGGTTGCACTTTGAGTCAGCATCTGAGAACCTGATAATGGTATTCCAGTGCATACAAAATGCAGGCTTAAAAGTGAAATCAGTGAAATATTAACTCATTCAAATGGAATTGGAGTTTCACAGTCACACTTTAAGGAGAGATGGAGTCTCAACGGACCTGGCTAAGATAGTCGTGATAAATGATTGGTCTCAACCTGTAATGAAGTGAGAAGCTCACAGTTTTTTGGTCTTGCATACGACTGATGATTTGTGGTAAAATTTTCAAAGATAGCAGCATCATTGTTGGCTTTTGTGACAGTGGGTAAAAAAACTTTGGATGGAGTGCCTAATATGATCAGGCATTTTGATCCCTAAAGTTCACTTTAGTGGATGTGCCAGTGCTGGCATATCCCCATCAGGACTGAAATTCTCATGGATATTGACACCAGCAACAACAGAGTCTGATTGGTGTTACTGTACTTGCAGGACAGAGTAGAATATGTAATTGTATAAGCTTACAAATCTTGAATGCAGGTACTGTACAATTAGGAATATGCTGCTTGCTGTAATGATTATAAAACACTATTACCACTACTTGTATGGTAGGAAGTTCATCATTAGAGTGAACCATGCTTAATTGAAGGGATTAGTAAACTTTAAAAATCCAGAAGGGATGATAACATGTTGAATAACAATGTTGCAAAAATATAACTTTGTCATAGTTCATCAAATAAGTGCAAAATATCGAAACATAGATGGACTATCACCCCACACTCAAACTTTTGTCTGTTTGTAGAATATCCTGACCCTGGACACTGTAGGAGTTAAAACCATGACCATTAAAAAAAAACAATGAAAACTGACCACAAGCTGAAAAATGAATGTTAGGGTTAATCCTTCAAGATCTTTAGGACAATCAACTAAGAACTCTGCCTAAGTATGGGTGCTCCATGTTGTCCAGCAAGGTCAAGTCCAGATAAGGCGAGTAGAGGAGTATAGAAAAGGATGCACCTAACCTGTGGCATCCCTGTGCAAGATGTACTGTATT